ATCTATCTATCTATCTATCTATCTATCTATCTATCTATCTATCTATCTATCTATCTATCTATCTATCGGATTTCTCTCCCGCCCATCTCCCCTACAATAGGGGACTCTGGGCGGGTCCCACCCTCTCTGGGCCCTAACAGGCTCCAGACACCAGAATAGAGCCACAATTGCATCTCATGTTTTTGGCACCCCAACAGAAGTTTCTTGACAGTATCGTCTCCCAGGATTTCCCCCCAGTCCCTTGTTTCCCTCCTCCATAACCAGGTCTGACCCTACTTAGATCAGCCCAGCGTAGCCAAACGCATTCCTCATAGCCAGGGAAGGGATGTGTGTGTCTGGCCTGCACTCAGTGCATGAGCGTGCGTGTGTGCATGTGTGAAAAAAGTAAAAGCGGTGGCCACAACCATGTGATCAAAGCCCTGCCCTTTTATATGAGCGTGGCACCCTTTTTCAGGCGACCCGTTCCCTCCTGGAAAAGAAGGAACGCCGGGAACGAGGCCTGAAGGACTCCATGAAGAATCGTCATGGCATCTGGCAGGCCACCCCCACCCTCCCCAAGCCAAGCCCAACTGGATTCTAGCCGGCCAGTGCCAATGCAGGAGACCGGGCTTCGTCCTGAGATTTATTTATTTTTATTGAGGGTTTTTAAAAGGTTTCGGCTACCCCTCAGTGAGAGATATCTCTGACTGTTCACCACCCAGAACCTTTGGGGGTGAGCAGCGCACAGACACTGCAAATCCGCAAAGGAGATCTGGGCATTAGGCACGGCATGCCTGGATTCTCCCAACCGCCCGGGCAGTGGGACAGGCTGGCTGAAGCTTGGTCTCCCCAGTCCCAAAGGACGGATTCCCGCCCGATGCCAGGAAGGGCCCGTACCTGCAGCCGGGCGGCGTGCTCTTGTTTCCGCTTCATGTCATTGATGTACCAAGCCACCGCCGTCATGGTGATGCTAGCCTCTTCCACCGAGTCGTAGCCAGGGCTGCTCTTGTCGTAATGTTTGGCTAGTTCCTGGGTAGAGAGAGAGCAGGTTTGAAAGAGTGGTCAGAGACAAGGGAAGTTCACTCAGCAGGAATCTGAGAAACAACTCGGAAATTATAGATCATCCTCTGGATAAGAGAATCCAGATTTCACATGTGGCACAAATCCATACAGCTCCTTAACGTTCAGGAATGGTTCCCAGGTAGAGTTAAATTCTGCACCCGATTTACTTTTGATACAGGACGCACAGAAGCATGCTTCCACAACCGAATAAACCATTCTTCCAAAGAAGAAAGTAAAGATTTTTCTCCAAGACTTGTTAGCTCCACTGAGAGCTTTGGAAGTGGAAAAGCTGATCAAGTCTCTGAAATAAGTACAGCATGCACACGCATACAATACCGGGGACTGGCCAAGCTCTCCTCCCCGCTTTCCCCCATCTCTTCCCCAGATGAGGACCACGTGGCGTGCCCTGCCCGGAGCCACGAGGCGGCACCACTGACCTGCAGCAGTAGATGGTACTTCAGAATTCGCTGGACAGGCTTGAGAAGGTACGTCTCCAGCGGCAGCGAGTGCGACAGCGTGACCTGCCTCTCCCGGAAGAACCTGGCCAGGGCATCGTCCTCCATGCACTGCCGGAGCACCGAGACAGAGCTTGTAGTTGGGGGAGAGGGGAGGGGAGGGAAGGGAGACGAGAGACGGGCATTTAAAGCAGGTGCCCACGTGCACGTACCCGGGGGGGGGCAGGCAGGAGCCGGGGGGGAACGTGTGATTTGGGGGCAGGAGAGAGAGAGAGACATACAGCTTTTCTCTCCTGCCCCCCAGGACCTCGCATTTTCAGTGTGTAAAGGGGAAAATTAAACTTTCTTGTCTTCAGGAACATAAAGGAGGAAAAGAACTGCAGAGGCAGAGGCAGAATTCTGCCTGGTGCCCGTCCGGCGCAGAATGCAGGACAAGGACCGGGCCCCCCGGCCAGAAAGCCCCTTCTTGGCAGTGGTACCTGCCCCCTCTCCAAAATGGGTGACCTCCTATTCGACCTTCGGGGGCTGGAGAAGGGCATTCTCTTCTTTCCCACATGAAAGGAGAAGGCTTATTTTGCATTTCTCGCCCGCCTTTTTCATGCTTTTTGAAAAGAGTTTTAACTTATTTTTGCTATCGCCTGCCAATCAGCCACTCCAAGACGCAGCTGTGGAGGGCGCATGATAGACATCTGTGAGGCAAATCCAGCAGGGACAGAGCCTGCCAAGCGAGGGGCAGAGCGGGACTAGGGATTGGGGAAAAACTGATACAGGTTGCACTGAAAACCACAGGGTGAAGGAGGAGATTCACACTTCCTTGATTTGTATAGGAATTTGTACTTACTTGGGGTAGTTCATGCAGTACAAAGTATAGATATCAAATTCTTCACTCTGTAAAATTTAATTGGACACCATTAAAGTGCACCGCAGTGCGCATGGGGAATGTCATTTCTCTGACTGCTATTAGGAAGGCCAGGTTTACAGGGGCTCCGTGCCTCCAGAAGCGTGCAGGGAGAGCGCAGCTGGTCTTTTCCTCCCGCCCCCCGCATCCTGGTTGAATTCCATGAAACACGAGGGTAATTCTCCCTCGGCAGGGGACCGGCTCTCTGGTCAGTCTCTGAGCAGAGGTCAAGCCCTGCCTTTTCACTGACGCATCTGTAGGGGTGCCCCAAAACTGGAAGAGGAGATTAGTTCAGCTTTCCCCAGCAGATGTGGACGCCGATTGATCTGGGGAGTCCCACGACAGTCTAAATCAGTGTTTCCCAACCTGAGCAACTTGAAGATGTGTTAACATGTGCCATGCCACGCAGGCTGGGGAATTCCGGGGGTGAAGTCCACACATCTTAAAGTTGCTCAGGTTGAGGCACACTGGCCTAATTGATTACAGGTGGGATGAAAACACGAGGAGGAGGAGGAGGAGGAGGAGGAGGGGAAGTCAGGCACTTACCCTCTGGACAAAGCAGTCCGCGACCGCATGGGCACTGGTGTTCCGCTCCAGATCTTCCAGGAGCTCACTGCCCCGGGAGAGAGAAAGGCATTGGAAAGAGGGGATAAAGGAGGATGTTTGCAACGGGTTGCAGCTTCCCCCCACTTTCCTGAAGGAACTCTGCCTTGCACCGGCCCTGCCAATTTGTCCTAGACGGCCAGCAGAGCATTTGCACGTGTTCGTGAATTCTTTGCAAACACAAAGGGAGGATGCCCGCACTTGGTGGCAGGGCCAAGGGCAGCAAGGGGTTTCTTGCCCATGGGGCGGGCCTCTGGACCAAGGCATGAGTGGGAAGGGGGCTTGGGAGGAGAGGGCTTGCCAACCGCCTCATTCCTCCCACCGTCCCTGCATATTCCGTCAGCGCCTCCCCACCGAGTTCGCTAAGCTGCAAAACTATCCCAGATGGGAAATCAGATGGGTTGATGGAGCTCTTGGCAACGGACCAGTTTTTAAAAGGCGAAAAAGCAGCAGCAGGAGGCCGAGGAGAGAAGAGAGGGGCTGGGGGAGGAACTAAAAATAAACGCAGCAGGTGGCGATTAGCCAAAAAGTCTTGTTGGGGAACAGCGTTTCTGCATCTTCCCCATCCCCGAGACCTTCCTTACCTGAAGGGAAAAGGGAGGGGGCGGAGGGGCAGAAAAAGAGAGAGGCATTTTGAAAACGGAACCGTACAAAACCCATATTCTCCTGGAATTCTGTCTCAAGGTGATGCACTCAGTTTAACATGGAAGGGGCCCCATTTCAGCTCTGGCCAAGCTAATAAATGTTTCCCTCTTCGCCTGTGGCGCCTGAGAATTGCTTGCAGGGAATTAGGAGGAAAAGGTCTGCAAGCCAGAGGAATCCGTTCCTTCCCTTTCCATATTTATAGGCCTTAGACAATTTACAAGGTGAAACACGGAGAGATGGGTCAGCGGGAAAAGGGGTTGCCGAGCTTGAGGGATCTGCCATTGTGGGTCTTGCAGGTCTATCCTTAGGACTGCCCCATCGTGAACCTTGAAGCATAACGTATGCGTGGGGGGGTGGCGCAAAAAGACTCAGTGCGTGCTCAGAGGCACTCTTCACAGGTTCTAGTTCTCAGCCTCAGTGCTCACAGCAGGAGCGGGCTAAAGCACCGGGTCACGGAAACGGCACCACGAAGAGAGAACCAGAGAAGATCTGCCAGGTCTGAGCAGATGTTCTCTCCCCGCACCCTGCTCTCTGTTGCTCCTTCCTTCATATGTCAGTCTGTAATTAGCAAATACAGAGGGAGACCCTCCGTTTTGGATAGATGGTCCGCCTCGGCCCCTCCGGCTCACCTGGGCCTGGAGCCAAGGCACCTTTCCTGCCAGGAAGAGGCTGCTCCAAGCCCCTGGCTTCTGTGTTCTTCCCGGCCTCCATCTTCTCCCCCCTCCCGCCCCATGCTCCCCTTTCTCAGCCCCTCAATCCCCAGGTCCTACTCAAATTACAGGCTCAGCGAATTCCAAGCTTAGAAATGCTTCCTTGTCAAGAAACCCCCCGTCATCCTCTCCTTGTTAACGGCTGCAAAGACAGATCACGGATCAGACTGAGCCTGCTGGGAAAATGAACTCGGGGGCAAGACCCCGGGGGGGCGGGGGCTGGCCCAATTTGATCTGTGGATTGTTTTTCCTCCCTGCTTTGTGAAGGGGGGTGCAGTTTCAGAGTCTGGCCCCAGACAGCTTCAAATCTGGGGCGTATTTCAGTGAACCAGGTGAGGAAAGGAAAATGCAAGAGAAATGGAAATCAGCAGAGGCAGGAGGGCTGAGCGAGAGGAAATACCCAAATAAAATACACAATCCCCAGCCGGGGAGTCTCTGGAATCAGCATTGCTCCCCAGCTTTGGAAATAAGTATTGTTCAGGTGGAAGACGAAGGGGCCAGGTGGAGCATCCACAGCAAAGGTCAAAATCGGCAAGACGGGAGACGGGGTGGCCGGAAGCAAGCCCCAGGTTCAAAAGGGACGGGGCTTATTTGCAACTCTCTTGCCGGTTTTGACCCCTCCCTGAAGATGCTGCTGACCCCACCACAAATCTGGGAGTTGGGGAAATAAATACAAAAGACCCCACTTTACAGCCCCCGGTGCCTAGAGATGGAATATTAAGGCTAATAGTCCATTACTTGGTTAGAGGAGGGGAAAAGTGTGCTTGTTCTTCTTATGAGATATGGAACGAAAGGGTGGTGGATAATGAATACAGGAGTGGTTCACGTAGGCCAGTGTTGTCCAAACTTGGCCACTTTAAGATGAGTGGACTTCAACTCCCAGAATTCCCCCGCCCAGCCTCCTGGTTGCGGGATTTTGTGGTGTTATGTCCAATCCTCTTTAAATCTCTCCGTTTTGGCGACTCTGACTGATGCGAATTTCAACAAG